GCCAAAGACGCACGGAACGCTGTTCCCTTCCCACCAAAGGTGGTCCCTATTTTTCTACTTGCATGTTTTACATTCTTTCAAACTGCTAGGTTGGCAGAAGCTGGGACAAGTCAGGGGAGGTCACTCCGTTACGCGGCGCTAGGGATTCGAACCGTCGACCTTTCTGATCGACAAGCTCAGCATCTTAGCCACCGAGTCCCTCAATTCATGACAGTAAATTTATTTCTCTAACAAGAACCGCCTCCTGCCACATACCTCCCAGCGTCCGATAAGATCTCACAGGATAGGCCTTCTCCGGGTGCCGTCGACCACACAGTGTCGACTCGCGATTCCCCGGGGGAGAGCCTTCTCTGTAGCTGCCCCGCCCCTATGGAACGATCTACCCCCTGAGATCCGGACCCTCCCCACACTCTCGGCCTTCCGAAAGTCTACCAAGACTTGGCTGTTCCGGCAGGCCTGGGGCTGCTGAACCTTGAGTTCCAGCCCCACTAAAAATTGAGTGCATGTTGTGTTCTTTTAACTTGCTTTGTCTTTGTATTTTAAATTTCGTAGTATTTTTAAATTGTTTTTATGTAAGCCGCCCAGAGTCCTTCGGGATTGGGCAGCATACAAATTTATTAAATCTTGAATCTTGAAATTTACACAGTGGGAAACTGAGAAGCTTGCGCATTTTGAGCCAACCAAGGGCAACACCTCAAAAAATAGAAGGAATTTACAAATCCTGGCTTTCTTCTTAATGCAAAAATACTGCGGTTTCTTCTGCCTTAGAAACAAGCTCTACTGCTTATTAAAACCATGATTATTAGTACTGTAAATAATGGTGATTCAAGATGCATTAGTTGGTAAAAGGACCGGCAAGAGACTAATGGATGCCATCTTTCCAAATCATTTTGCTGAATATTCGCTTCAATTTGCATCTGGCTTCTCTTTTTTTTCTTCCTTCCCCTTTTTTTGTACTATCCAATGTGATTTAAAAAGAAAAAAAAAGAAGGAGGTAGCCATTTCAAAAGTCCCCTTTCTGGCTTTAAAATAAAAATCACAATAACGGCAGCATGAAGAAAATACTTTTGCCAATGCTATTTTTCCAAAGAGATAAAATTGTTTAGCTTTTCCGGAGAAAGAGGGAGAGAGAAAGAAAGAGAGAAGAGAAAACAAGGGAAAGAGGAAAAAGAGGATAGGAAGAGAGAGAATTTGTGTGGCCTTCTTAGGATTAATTAACCAATTTTATTTTAAACAAACCAGAATCTGGTAACTGGAACGAACACCCATTCCACTGTATAATCTACACATCTTTTTTCAAAGAAATTTGGATTATTTGCTTCATAGAATGGAGCTAATCTTTAAATCATTTGTGCAACAATATGCTTGGCCCTAAGGATGCTACAAAACTTTCCATTTTATTTTGCCGTATTTGTAATCTGGGGACCAAAGGAAGTTATACGTGTCATGCAAGATATGTGATTTCCAAGCAAAAATGACTCTAAAGCACAAGAATAGTGACAAAAATTTACACTGACAAAACAAAGAACTGTGTTTAACAATTCAGTGCAAATGACATTTCCTCCGCAAGCTAGAAATCATCTTTTAATGACACCATAATCCCTTGCGGGGTGGAGCCTGGGCAACTGAATGGACTGAGTGCTTACTGGCCGGATGCCCGTCCTGTCACCATTGCGGAGTTTTGTCCAGCAGATATATTCTCATTGTGCCCAGAGAGAGAAATAGCTGCCTCTACCTAGGATTGAACTCACGGCCTCCTAATTGTGAGGCGAGAGCGCCACCTCTAGGCCACCACACGCTATAAATATATTATATTTATTCATTCCCCCAATCACAAGTCAATCATATCAGTAACCCTGATAATTATTGAAATTATATAAATCCAAATCATTTTCTTTCCAAAGACATTAATTGCACCAGCTACCACACTTCTCCTTTCAAGCTGAAAACAATGAAATATGGTTTGAATTCTGATAAGTAATCTATTGTAGAAAAATCTAAGGAGTAATTGTGAAAGAATTCCAGCAACTTTTAGGTATCTCTGGCTTTGTTGGGATTAACCAATGTCAGTTTAAATAAGGTCAAACCAGGTTAAGTATAATAAATATCTAATCGGCTTGTGCATGAAAAGTGAGACTTAGATAAAGTGAAATCAAAGTTCACATTTTTTGCAATTTTTTCTCCTACTCAAGCTAAGCAATAGATTAGCTGGCCCTGTTACAACTGAATGTTGTTTTGGCGACAAACAAATCTGGAATCAGATCGTATTTTTATAATCATGCAAGAATTTATTGTATTTATTTAGAANTGCTGTCGATCTTGCTGTGACCCCCTAGGAAAAGGTTATGCCCCACCCTGTATATACAAACATTCCTGATATCTTCCCAACATATATACCTTTACTGATATAAATAAATATTGACTGTTTTACTTTTAAAAAAAAAAAAACAATCTCTACAAGGTGGATGGAGCAACATCTGAATCTTGGTTTCAACCACACCTGCACCACCCACCACCAGCCCCACTCCTACCAATGAAGGATTCTGTGGGAGCAATGTTCCCCTGCATTCCCAAATTATGATCCGCTCTACCTGTAAATTTCTCGTCCCCGCTGGATGCCCTGGAATTGTTGTGGATGATGCTGTTCTGAGAGGTGGTGGGCTCCTCCTCTTCCTCCCCGGAAGACACTCTTGGTGGCACCGCCTGCGTTACTTTGGGGCTGGTGGCAGGCTTAACTTTGTGGTTGGGGCTGGGCACACTGGCTCTCTGGCAAAGGACAGGATTCAATGACATAGGAAGGCAAACTTACTACAGCAAGTTTTTGAACATTTCTTGGTCATTAAATACTGATATTTGTTAATTTTTCAATTGATTTATATTCCGCTTTAATTATTTCTATCGTTAACTCAAGACAGTGAACATATCCAGCACACCTTCCTCCTCCTATTTTTCACCAGAATAACAACTCCTATTGGTCAGTTGGGCTGAGAGGAAGTGACTGGACCAAAGTCACCCAGCTGTCTTTCATGGCTAAAGTGAGACTACAACTCACAGTATCCTGGTGATTGGCCCAAAGTGACCCAGCTGTCTTTCGTAGCTAAGGCAGGACTAGAACTCACAGTTCCTTGCTTTCTAGCCTGGTGCCTTAAACTACCAGACCAAACTGGCTCTCCTCCCAAAGATTCCTGATATCTTCCCAACAAAGGCAAAACATTCCTAAAGGATTACAATCTCATGACTTACTCTCATGTCCAGGTTGCAAAATAGCAGTCGAATCAGGTAAGAAAAACCTACAATGAGACTCACTATCCTGTTTCCCCAAAAATAAGACCTCCCCGGATAATAAGCCCAATTGGGCTTTTGAGCACATGCACTAAAATAAGCCCTCCCTGAAAATTTAAATGCATGTGCATCGTCCCTGCAATTTCGAGGGGGGGGGAATGGACATGCTCCCCTGCATGCACCTGCCATCCATGCAGAATGGCCTCACGGAGGCCGTTCCCGCAAATCCTAGTTACCGTGCCCTTTTTTTTAGTGGCAGCTGCAAATAGAGCAGCAGGCCCAGTGATGCTACAGCTGGCCAGTGTATGCCAGAAACAGAGACAGAATTTCCTCTCTGGATCAGCTGATCTGCGGGCCATGGGGCGAGGTTAAGAGACCTCCTTGAAAATAATAAGACCTCCCTGAAAATAAGGCCAAGCACTTATTTCAGGATCAAAAGAAAATAAGACCCTGTCTTATTTTTGGGGAAACATAAAATATACCACAATAACAGGAAAATCCCCCAAACAAACACATTGTCAGGCCTGCAATTATATTCCTTTTAGAATTTTGGCCTGCCACTCTCTTATTTCATTATGCTGTTTCTTTAGTATAGTTGATGGGAGTGGGGAATAGAAAGGAGTAGGATTGTGGAATGTATTGTTGTCATTCTTTTC